GGACGAGAAGCCTAGCATAGTCCTCACGGGACACAGTCTAGGTGCAACAATCGCGACTCTCGCAGCGTTTGACTTGGCGGAAAACGTTACAAACGGCAGTGACGACGTGCCCCCGGTGTCGGCGATTGTGTTCGGTTCTCCTAGAGTTGGCAACAAAGAATTCTTAGACAGAATCAACGAACATAGTAACGTGAGGATATTGCACGTGAAAAACGAAATTGATCTTATCACTCGTTATCCAGCTAAGCTTATGGGGTACGTCAACATTGGGACCAAACTCAAAATCGATTCAAGAGTTTCACCTTTTCTTAAGGAGACTCATCATCCTGGTGATTGGCATAACCTTCAGGCAAGTCATTATCTATAAACTCAAAACACATAAGATTGGCTTTTAAAACAAAACAGAACCGACATTGGTCTTAACGGTTTGATTGGATGTAGGCTATGTTACACGTTGTAGCGGGATGGAACGGGAAGGATCAGAAGTACGAGATGAAAGTAAACAGAAACATAGCATTGGTTAACAAATCGTGTGCACTGTTGAAAGAGGAGTGTTTGGTTCCTGAGTGTTGGTGGGTGGAGAAAAACAAAGGTATGCTCAAGAATGAAGATGGTGATTGGGTCCTGGCTACTCCCGACGATGAAGACATGCCTGTCGTGGAGTTTGAGTGATTATCTTTGATTTGGTTATGTTTTTTCTTCTTATTGCAAATGACTGGAAGTTTGTGAATTGTGAGATTGCTAATAATAATACGTCAAACTGTGTGTTATTTTTATAATATATATGTTTATAAAAAGAGTAAATCATTAAGCAAAAGTTTAAAAGGTTTATCTTTCTTACATGACAAAAGATAACCCTTGGCAGAGTTGACGACATTACATGAACATAGGTCCTGTTCGTTTGGTTGCCGCGGGTTTCAGCGTCGGCGTCGGCGTCGGCGTCAGCGTCGGCGTCAGCGTCAATGAAAATAGTTGTTGTTCGTTTTGTAGACGCCGACGCCGACGCTGACGCTGCCGCAGATTGTTGTTCGTTTAAAAGACGCTGACAGTTGACGCTGACGCCGACGCCGACGTTGATATGTTGGATTGTTCGTTTGATAGACGCTGTGTCTATTTCATTTTTTTTATATTTTATGTTAAAAAATTGTAAAATTGTATTTAAAAAATAAAATATAGTTCAAATATATTTACATCCATTAAAATATTATGTTTACTTGGTAATGAATTTTTGGTCAATTATACAAATGTTACAACATTTTTTTCATAAATCATAAGCTAAATTAGAAAAAAATAATACTTCAAAATATTTATCAGAAAC